TGCCTTTTTAAAGCTTTTTGGTATTTTCTTTCTTCCTTCTCTAAACTGTTCAGCTCTTTGTTTCTCTGACTCATCACTTAATTCTTCTACCCCACTTCTCTCATGCCCCACTCCTCTCTGCCTACTTTTTTTCTCACCCACTTCCTTTTTTCTCACCCACTACTTCTGTCTTCTATGCCAGACTCTTGTTTAGCTGTATTTCCCCCTCTTGGTTGCTTTCTTTTTTACCCACCCCCATCTCCTCCTAAGAGTTGCTTATCAGAGCCTTCAATGTCATGATTGTAAAGACTCAGAGAGAAACTCCTGCCCCTGCCTCTCAGCATCCCACTGGGATCAAGTAACCAAGAGAGGCTGTGAATCTGTGGTTCTTGTTCGGCATTAAAAGCAGCACTGGGGGCGGCCCACTTATGGGGGCTTGACTTTATGGAATCTGCCTGAAGACAGGGGGATGGATGATGTGATCTCAGGAGGGCCCTGCCAGATCAAGGAACCTGGGAGCCTCATCTCAATCATCTTCAATTTAGATTTATTGGACACCCCTTGAGTCCTCAGAACTGTGCTAAATGATTTCATCTTCCAAGCACTGTTAGCAGCTGTTTAAAATATTGTAATCTAGTATCTGCCTTTTTAACAGCTATTTAAAATATAATATTGGGCAGAGTTTTTATAAGTTCTTGTGTGTTTTTTGTTATTATTTATGACAAACCATGTTTTGAAAATTAGAAGTTAGAGGATTTAATGTTGGAAATTGTCCTTCATTTCTTTTAGCAGATGATTTTATAGGTTACTACTCCATATAGACTCCTCTCCATCTACTGTGAGATCGGAGGGCATGCTGAGAAGTGGGTAGGATAATATTCATGGAGAAGATGCCTTATGGGCACTAGAACTGGGATGGATGGGGGCTGTGGAGGATATTTTAGGAGAGACTTGGGAAAGAAAGGACATAAGGAGAGAGAGCAAGCTTGGGAACAGTTTTTTTTCTTTTTTAAAAAATATATTTTACTGATTTTTTACAGAGAGGAAAGAAGAGAGCTAGAGCTAGAAACATCAATGAGAGAGAAACATTGACCAGCTGCCTCCTGCACACCCCCTACCAGGGGTGTGCCCGCAACCAATGTACATGCCTTTGACCGGAATCAAACCTGGGACCTTTCAATCCGCAGACTGACACTCTATCCATTCAGCCAAACCGGTTTCGGCAGGGAACAGTTCTTTTATTTAGTCAATAAATATTTATTGAGTGCCAACTCTGTGCAGGTAATTTTCTATATACTGAAGGTACAACAGAGAAAAAATATATTAATGAAGTCTACCTTCATGGAGTTTATATTCTAACCAAAGGCACAGTGCACGAAATTCATGCACTGGGGGGTGTCCTCTCGGCCCAGCCTGCACCCTCTGCAATCAGGACCTCTCAGGGGATGTCCAACATCTTTCTCACAATCTGGGACCGCTGGCTCCTAACTGCTCACTGCCTGTCTGATCGCCCCTAACTGCCCCCTCTGGGTGGCTCAGTCACCCCATGCAGCCTGCTGTTCAGTTGTTTATTCGTCCCTCACTAACCCCCACCAGCCTGGTCGCCTCACACAGCCTGCTGTTCAGTCACCCATCCCAGTGGTCGGCAATCTGTAGTTCTCGAGCTGCCGTTTGCCGACCACTGACCCATCTGATTGTTTTGGTCGTGATGGCCCCTGGCTTTTTATATATTAGGATAGGAAGAGAGAACCAACAAAATAAATGAAGTTGGTGATTTGTACTATAGAAACAAACAAAGCAGAGGTAGGGAGTATTGGGAGTATTAATTCTAAAAGAGTGATAAAGTAAAAACCTAAGGAGATAGGATATGGGCCAGTGCAAAACTCTAGGTGATGAGTATGTATGTATTCCAGAGAGAAGAACCTGGATAGGGGGAGAGGGCAGAGCAGAGAAACCAATTTGAAGAAAATGTCAATGAACCAGGAGAGAGATGATGGTGACCTGGACTAACTGGACACAGAAGTGGTAGTGAGAAGAGGTCAGGGTCTGATTTTAAGGACAGCAACACCAGCAGAACTTGCTGATGGATTGGACAGGGTTTGGTTTGAACACAACAGGGAGGGTGAGTTACCATTAACTGAAATGGCAAAGATGTGGGTGCAGGTGGGAAAGAACTAACATGGGAGAAAGATCACAGGTTCCATTTGGGACATGGTAAGTTTGCGTTCTTGAAGTGGAAAGTGGAAGATGTGTGAGGAAACCCTTAGTGCAGGGGTAGGGAACCTTTTTTTCTGCCAAGAGCCTTTGGATATTTGTAACATAATTTGTGGGCCATTCTTGGGCCATACAAAATTACCAACTTAAAAACTAGCCTGCTATATTTGGTCAAACATTTAATTAACTCACCCCTAATGCCTGGGCAGGGTCAGACCAGATGATTTTTGTGGGCCTTATATGGCACCAGGCTGGACATTCCCAAACCACCCCTGCCTTAGTGAAAAGAAGGAAGAAAGCAAGGGTGTGAATCTTACAGTAAATAAAATGGATTTGGCTAGGGATAGAAAGGGAGAAGGTGTGGGTGATAAGAGTGAGCATCATGAGGAGCACCTTACAGTATGTGAAGCTGGGTGCTCGAGAGAATGAGGACCGCTTGCTGGTGAAAAGCAATGAACAGTCACATAGAAAGGCTGAGTAAGCCTAAGCTGGGGTGTGCCACGTAGATTTTGAGAAGGTTAGATAAAGAATGAAGTACCGTGTTTCCCCGAAAATAAGACATCCTCCGAAAATAAGACCTAGCGCATGGAAAGATAAGACATCCCCTGAAAATAAGACCTTGCGCAACTTTGGAGAAAAATTAATATAAGACACTATCTTATTTTCGGGGAAACAGTACTACAGGGAGAAAAGGTGCTGGTCTGGGGATTAAAAATACCCTTGAGTCTGGCTGGCATGGCTCAGTGGATTAAGTATCATCCGATGAACCCAAGAGATCGCTGGTTCGATTCCCAGTGAAGGTACATGCCCAGGATGTACATGCCCATGATGTGGGCTGGATCCCTAGTGTTGAGTGTGCAAAAGGCAGCCAATTGATGTCTCTATCATGTCTTGCTATCATTGATGTTTCTATCTTCTCTCCCTCTCCCTTCCTCTCTCTCTAAAATATCAATAAAAACATTTTTTAAAATAACCTTGAGGTATGAAGACGCTAATGGAGGTGGAAGTGGGTGATGTAGATATGGTGGAGAATTTTGGCCTCTAAGGATAATGTCAGTGTGGCTCTTAAGGAAAGGGAACCAGCATAGATTGTATCAGAGAGGAAAGGGACGACTCTGGGATGGGGAAGGGGGTTGAAATGTACTGAGCTGCTACTACTGTATTTCCCCGAAAATAAAACATCCTCCGAAAATAAGACTTAGCGCATGGAAAGATAAGACATCCCCTGAAAATAAGACCTAGCGCAACTTTGGGAGAAAAAATTAATATAAGACACTGTCTTACTTTCGGGGAAACAGGGTAGAGGCCCTGAAGTTCTTGCTGGCTTAAAAAGGCAGGTGGGGAGGGGTTAGAGGAGAGCAGCAGGTAACCTCTGAGTGCTGAGAGGTGTACTAGCCATGTGTACACTTGCACACTTCTTTTCCATATAAGGCACTTCATTGTATTAGCAACCTTGGAGTGTGCTTATGAGTGTACATGTGACATGTGGGTGTAGATACATGTGCTCCCAATTTGTGAGGTGCTCCCCACTTTTACGCACTAAAACTCTATTGGTAAGGGCCGTTTACAGATTATTCATTTTTTTCTTCTTTCCTATTTGTTGGTTTTCTTGCAGTATTTTTGTTGTTGTTTCACTACTTATTGGTCCTTTGGGCAGAAAACGGGATTTTGTAAAATTCAAATATTGAAAACATTTGCAATGCATTATTTGCATTATAGGAATAAAAATGTCAGTGGATAGAACCAATGTTTCAATTAAATTTTAGAATTATATATGGGTTAAAATGTTTATGTGGCTATGATTACAAATAATCAGTAATCTACTAAATGAATCAAAATTTTGTTTTCACCATCTATATTTTCCCTTGTTGCATTTCTATTTCTTTCCACATTCCCTCCATGTTCCCAGCTGGCAGCGAGCTCAGGGTCCTCAGGATTCTGAACTTAAGCAGAAAGCAGCTGTTTGTGCTGCTCAGCAACCTTAACTGGTAAAGAGGGAAGGTGGGAAAGCGATGACATCATTTTTTAAATAAGGAAAAGGAATGAAAGGGGCTTAGGAGACTAAGTAATTTTGGAAGAAAAGTCTGGTAACTGTAAGGCATGTGGCTGGGAGGGTTCCCCATTATGGGCTGGATGGTCTGATTAAGAACTGGGAGGAGTGCAGTAAGGAACACTGATTTCCAGGTCCTTGTGTTACATTTTTCGGACCTAAATTTTGGGTATAGGGTGAGGATAGGGGATCACATGACCCTGAAGTTCCCATCTGGAAATGAGATTCTAGATTTAAGGAAGAGGGAAAACAGAAGAGAAGTCAACACAGTTCTTCCACTGGTTCTGGTTAGGATTCCTAGAATAACAAAGGCTGATAGCCCCATCCTGCAAAAGTAAACGCTCCTGTATTGTTCATTCCTGCCCCAGCAACTGAAAGGATCCTGCCAGGTCCCATACTACTTCACTCTGGGGCCTGAGGCAGTGTGGTCTGGGTTTAGAGAAAGCCGGGAAGGTAGTGGGTAGGCAGAACTGAGGTAGGGTGTGGGAATGTGGAGGGACACAGTCCTGGGAATGGTGTTCCTTTGGTAGACACTTATTGCCTGCCCCACTTTGCTGTAGTGAAATCTGTGCTGGTTAATACCTTTCTTCCTATTTCTTTGTCTTCCCTGAACTTCTTCCATCCCCATCTCATCCCCTCTACATCTGTCTCTCTTCCTGCTGTCTTTCTGGCCATGCCTGGTCATGGTTTCGTGCCTCTTCCAACCTCTCTTTTCCTACCTTCTCCCTCCCTGTCCATTGGTTTTTGCTCCCCACAGAGGGGAAGGTGTACAGCTCAGATGAGGAGAAGCTGGAGGCACCAGCAAGAGACCCAGCAGGCAGCGAACAGGAGGAAGAGGGCTCAGGCGGAGACAGTGAGGACGACGGCTTCCTGGACAGTTCTGCAGGGGGCCCGGGGGTTCTCCTGGCACCTAAACCGAAGCTAAAGGGAAGCCTGGGGACTGGAGCTGAGGAGGCAGCCCCAGTGGCATCAGGAGTCACAGCTCCTGGGGGCAAAAGCCGGAGGCGCCGCACAGCATTTACCAGTGAGCAGCTTTTGGAATTGGAGAAGGAGTTTCATTGCAAGAAATACCTAAGCTTGACAGAGCGATCCCAGATCGCCCATGCCCTCAAGCTCAGCGAGGTGCAGGTCAAGATCTGGTTTCAGAATCGAAGAGCCAAGTGGAAGCGCATCAAAGCTGGCAATGTCAGCAGCCGTTCTGGAGAGCCCATAAGAAACCCCAAGATTGTGGTGCCCATACCTGTACACGTTAACAGGTTTGCTGTGCGGAGCCAGCATCAACAAATGGAACAGGGGGCCCGGCCCTGAATGGGGCTCGTGAGGACTTCAGAGGCAAAGGATTCATTTCCCGGGCTTGCTGAGACTGGGTTAGGGCTCTGTGGACCAGGAGGCTACCACTGATTCTGCCCTAGCAGGGGGCTCAGTTGGCAGTGCACTTAGCACTAGGTATGCTCTCCTGGCAATCTGAGATATGGGACCTGGTCCCGGAGCCTATTCCAGAGACCCTCGGGACTGGGGCTTCAGGATTAAAGGGCCTTAGGTTATTGCCCAGGAGCTTTGGGGACTGAGGTGGACTCCTGAGGAGGTGGTGGCTCTACAATGCCTAAGGCCTGAGAGGTTCCTGGAATCACTGACAGGGGTGGGGAAGGATCCAGGGTAATGGCCAGTCAAGCTGATCACAACTCCTTATTTATTTTGTGTAAATTTTGTATATGTGGATCTATCTGCCCCTGTCTGTCTGCACCGAGAGGGCTTGAGAAAGTTATGTTTCCTCTATCCTCAACCAGAATTTAGCTCCATTTCCTGCCTCAGAGTGATTACAGTCTTGCCTATCTATAATACAGGGACATGTAGAGAAACTACATGGAACCGTCACTAACCTCCTTAGAAACTCGACACACACCATCTCTTCTCATGTAAACTACTGCCACATCTGTTCCTTTTCAGCCGGGGGGCTGCCCACTGTGCACGGTTAGACCTCCTGTTCCTAACGTGGTCCTTTACCCATTAAACAGGCAAGCTTATCATCTCCGCCTCCTTCTTTGGAAGACTTGGCAGACTTCAGAATAGAGGACTCATTCACATTTGTATTAGGACAGGGAATTTAACACTTGGCCCTAGTTTAGCTTCGATGTCCAAGTCCCTCTAAGTAGTTAGAGGTTAGCAGTTTGTATTTGTTAGTGACTGGGCAGGCGGGTGAAGGGTCAGGGGGTGCTGGCTCCCTCTCACCACCTGTGAGCTCACTAATCTTTATGCAGAGGACACAGCAGCTTACTGCATCTGCCACCATTTAGTGTCCCAGACATGAGGGCACAGAGTAAAAGAACATTTCCCGTTGTTTATGTCATTAATTGTGGCCTCTCCTCCCAATCACAGCATTTATGAAGTTTTTTGGATACTAATCCTCTTATGAGATTGGTTGAGCAGACCCATTACAAAGTGGAGGTGGCAGAAAAGAATCTGTGATAGTTCTGGAAGGGTATGTGCCGGGGGGAAGCTAGAGATAGGAATGAGGCCCTGTGTTTGGAATTCTATGAACAAATTAAGGAACAGCGTTAGTTACAGACCCTAACTTAGCAAGTGCTCACCCTTCAAGAACAGGTACAGCAGGGTTTCCCCTAGATCTTCTAACATAACTAAGGGACAGAGGGAAAAGCAGAGGTTCTGAATTCTGCCCCAGCATGGCAAGATGGTGGGACTCAAGGTAAATTTTCTGCCAATACTGACGTATCACCTCCCCTTTCCTTAAAGGCAAAGGCTAGGCATCTGTCCAGAGAGAAGTGCCGCCCTAGTGAGCATCAAGCCACTCGGCCCACGGCATTCTCAGAGCTCTCCTCCTGTGCATTAACTCGTTTCCTTCCCTGGGTAGGCTGGTTCCCATGCTCTTAGAAAGGGGGACAATGCTTATACCCTCTCTTTGGGTGAACTTTGGCCAGTACAAGTCATGGCAGGAGGTTATTGGATAGAATGTTGATGAAAATAAAGACTACTAGCTGGGAAAATTTGAGAGGAGGGAGGTGAGTAGAGAATGCACAAGGAAACTTCCAGTGCTGTTGACAAGCTCAACTACACCTGCAGCAAAGGAAGGCTGAAAGAGATGTTCACGGAAGGCTCAGGGAAGACACTCGAGAGCAAACATGAGAAGATGGGCAAAGAGTAGAGATAATGGGGCAATTGGAGAAGGGTAGAGATATCAAAGGGGGAAACAAGACCACACAGTCTGGTTTATTGGCTCATACACTCACACCAAATATGTACACAAACATAAATATTTGAATGTACAAATTTACATGGGACTCACAGATCACCCCCTTGTATTTCATCCAGCACCCCAACCTGTGCTTTATCCAGGCTCCACTTTGAGATGAAGTTCGCAGGGGGCTGGCAATAGAGGGTAGCAATCTGGAGGAGGGAGAGGTCCTGCTCCCCTCTCCTCACAGGTACCTCCAAAGGGTCCTGTCCCTCTCAGTGGCACTGCAGGTCAGAAGGCTAAATACCTCCACACCCTCTGCTGCAGTTCAAACCCCAGTCTCCGCTAATCTGTCTCCCCCATTTAGCCGTTTGTTTTTCTCCTTCTTCCTTTATGCACGTCTCTACATCTTAGTCTCCGCATTTTTGTCTCCCCCAGTGCCTACAGGGAGGAGGCACCCAGGGTATGGAGTTCTGACCACTGCCCTCTTCCTGGGCCTTAAAGGAGGCTAGGGCTTCGGTGCAACTCAGCAGAGGTGTTGGTGCCGTTGGCAGGCTCTCTGTTGGGGGTAGGTGTTAAGCCACAGCCGTCCCCGGGGCAGCCATGCTGGATCAAAATGTCTGCACACTCCTGGCTCCCAGCCCGGCGAGCATAGGCCAGTGGAGTCAGGCCCCGGGCATCCCGACTCCTCACGTCCACTCCATACTGCAGAATAAAGCATATTTTCACAGTTAGTGTGACATGGCAGGCAAGATAGGTTCTTGGGGAAGAAAAGGAGAGATGGCTTTCAAAGGTCTGGGATAAAAAGGATGTCAGGGCACGTCAGAGGAGCCTGCAAGGGCGGGGCTCGAAAACCATGGAGGGAACCCAGGACTCACCCAGATGAGCAGCTGTGTAAAGACAACATTGGCCATGGCACTGGAGAGATGCAGAGCCGTCCGCCCGTCCCCATCCCCATAGGTCTCGTTCACCTCCTCCTTGGACCCGTGTGCCAGAAGCATCACCAGCAACCGCAGGTCGTCCTCCACCACGGCCCGGAGCAGCTGCTGCCCCAGTGGCACGTCCGAGCTCGGCAGTGGGGCCAGGAAGAGCTTCTGTTCGTACTTGGCCCGTATCCAGCGCTCCTTCTCCTCTCTGAAAGCACAGGCCCATCGAGGCATGAATGAGGAAGGACGGGGCCAGGGAGAGTGGTTAGGGAATGACATAAACACCCAAAAGGAGAATAAGGGAAAATAGTGGGAGGAAGTCTCAGGGTAGAGAAAAGAGAAGCCTAAGAGATCAAGGACATACAGAGGGGCAGTGGGCAATGCAGAAGGTGTGGAGGAAGATGAAAGGAAGGCAGGCTGAAGGGAGGCCCCCGGGGACAGCAGGGATGCAGAGGGCCAGAAGGGCAGGAAGATTCCAGGCAGGCTCGTGTGGCAGCTTATCTGGTCCTGCTAGAATAAAGGGGATGGAGGCTGTGCTGGGCGCCCTCCACTCTCCTATCTGCTCCCCATTCTCCCCATCTCAGAGCTCAGGCTGGGCCTTTGCACCACGGTGCAGATAGGGCCCTGCGCAAGCACCTCCTGCTGGCCCCCTGACCAGCTGATAACAACTCAGAAAGGGCCTCTTGTTGTGAGGTGCCTGAGTGACAGGGAGGGCGGAGGAAGGGAACCCCAAGGGGCCAACTGCCAAGCACAGCAACGGCCAGTTTTAACCCTTCTAGCCCTGTCACAGACACATGGCACCATCTTCAATCTTCCCCATACAGGAACACTTGTGTCCCCGCCCTCCTGGCCAGTTTCAGGGTCCCATCCACTTACCTGCAGGCGTCAGGCCCTGGCTTTGCATAGCCATCCAGAGCCCCCTCCCAGACGCTATTGGCCAGGGCATTGCCCATGGCAGTCATGACAGCCAGCAGCTCAGGTGGCCAGTCATCAAGGTCAAGGGAACGGACCCGAGACAAGTGAGCCCCAAGATGTCGATGGGTCCCTGAACACTCGATGCACATCAGGGCGCCCAGGTTCAGACTGGCCCAGTCTGGATCTAGATAAGGAGGAGAAGCACAGTGAAGCCCGAGGGCAACTAGTGAGACCACCCGGAGTCCTCTTCCTCCCCGCCCTCCTCCCAGGCCCCTAAAAACCTCTTGTCGAGCTTTCTCTAAGCCGCCCCCAAGCCTAGCCCCGCTAACCCTGGCCCTGCCACTCACTGGGGGCGTCGCAGTCAATACAGAAGCTGTTACCACGAACAGTGCGGACGGCCTGCACAGCCAGAGCTGTGTTCTGGTTCCCCAGTCGAGTCTGCCACAGTGGGAGACAAGGAGTAGCTGGTTAATCATGAGGCCACCCTTGGGTCCCACCCTATTCGGGTTTCCATGCCAACCTTGTCCTTGGCACTGCGGCAGCCCTGCAGGCTGGCGAGGATCTGGGCCTGCACGCTCTGCACCCACAGCTCCCGCTCCTCGGCTGTCGAGGCCTCGAAGTGCCACGTCTGCCCGGTGAGGGACACCACGACAAATTCAAAGGACTCTTCCGCCTCTGTGGGGGATGGAACATTTACCACCATCATAGTAGGTGCCTTGGCAGGTACACCAGGCCACTGCCACAAGCTCACCCTGCTTTCCTAGCACCCATCCTCCTTCCATCACCCCAGCCTCCAGGACCACACACTCCAGGGAAATTTGCAGGTGGGAGGGAGGACACTTGTAAGAGTAGTGTGGAGCCTAACCCTCCATTCCTAACCACCCAGGGAGCCCGAGTGAAACACAGACGGGGATGCAAGGTTTCGGTATTTCTGGCACTGCCAGCAGTGGGTCTGGAAATCAGAGAGGGTGCTTCCTGGAACAAGAAGAGCTGAGTATCTGGAGAAGGATGAGATGGGGTGCTAGGAGGCAATGCTGGGAGAGGGTGGGGGAGGCTGGTGTGGGCATCCGTACATGTCAGCTGCAGCCACCTCATTTTGCAGCTCATTAAACCCAATATTCCTGACGGCGTCAGCATGGGGCTCCTGGGAGCTGTGCCCCTCCCCCACTACCCTCCCATAGACAGGCAGGAAGGGCAAGTGGATGGGAGAGGAGAGGTTTTCTCCACAAACTAGGATGTGTGAGCAGATAGGGACCGAAAGACATCTGTAGTGACAGTACTGTAGGCTGGACTGTGACCCCAGGTGATGTGGTCCAGCTGTTCCCAGTTCTGCTTCTCCAGAAGGCAGCCACATGAATCATTCCCAATGGTCACTGCCCCATGCGTGAACAGTTCCTAACAAGCAGGGTGAATGTATGGTGGGGGAGCTGGAGAGACAGCTCAGGTACCTGTTGGAGGCCCAAGGCTGAGCCCATGGCAAAGGCCTGAGCCACGTGTTCCATCCAAGGCAGCCTCTCACCTCCTGGACACTGACACCCCCTGGAAGTCATCCTCTGAGCTCCTGCTCTCAGGGACCCTTAACAGAACTGCCTTCCTAGAAAACTGGCACCTGTTCTCTCCCCAGCTCACTATTCCACCCCACCTTGCCATAACACAGCCTCTGAATTGCATCATCGCCATTACTTGGGGCTCAGTTCCCTGGGACAGGTGTGCCACAAACATTAAGAACCACTTTATCACAGGGTGGCTGGGAAAGGTAGCTCTTTCCCACGGAGGTGGTCTCCACCCACATACCCACACTCCAAACTTGACAATCAGAACAGAAGTGACAAACTAGGTATCAATGTCAGAGAGACCCCAACCACTGATCAGAGGGATATTTTGAAGATACTTTAGGGGAAATCAGAGAAGTGGCGCTGTGACAAAGGATTATGTGAGAGGACCTATGGAAAAATTAGGAGCTGAATCCTTTAGCCTATAGCTGACTGGGGGAGGCTCGGCCCATCGGTACACGTGTATTAAGCACCTATTATGTGTCCGGCACTCATTAAACTCAATGGGTGATACAAGAGACACAGAAAACATAGGCCCTGCTTTTCCGCAAGTCTTGGAAGAGCCAATGGAGCAGCTGCCTGTGGTCCTGACTTTCTGTGAGAATGAGAGAAGCAGCTCGCGTTTTACAGAAAGGGTTTAAGTCAGGCAGAAGAAAAGAGCTGACACCAGGTCTGGATGGCCAAAAGGTGTGGCACTACTTTCACTGAGGATTGTTACTAAAGTGCTTAACCTAATACTTTTAGGGTACTATCCCCAAAGCCCACTGCCCACCTCTTGTGCCCCAGTGTCCCTCTGGGTCCCCCTAACCTTCGGCAGCACTGCTGGGGCCATCTGGTCGGGGGGTCCCGGTGCTCTTTTTCCTCCGGTGCTTCTTCCGGTTGGAGTGGGGAGATGGGGGAGGCTCCAGCTTGGGGCTGGAACCGAGCACCTCAGCTGAGCCACTGGCTGGGGAGGGGAGAATTGGAGAAGTGTGGGCAGAGGGGGAGGTGGGGGTTTAGCATAGTCCTGTCTAGTGCCCCTAGGAGAGCCACCCTCAAGTGCAGCTGGGCCACCCTGGGAGAGCAGCCTGCCAGGCTCAGTGGAGGAGAAGTGGGGAGAGGAGAGTGTAGGAGAGTCAGGCAGGACAGAAGAAAGGCGAGGCAGAAATGTTGGCTTCTGCAGCCTGGAGGGGTGAGAGGCGGCCTAGGGAACTCATAGGAAGCCGAAGCCCCAGCAGCTCAGCACCAAATTTATCCTCAATCACACTCCCTGCTCCTGACAATTAATAGCAGAATTAGAAACAATCAGGGAGCTGCCTAATTACTGTCAATTAGAGCGCGCTAATCAAGCTCCTATCTCCCATACCCCGCCCAGCGCTCACCACTAAATGTCAAACTTCATTAGAGGTAGACATGCTCCCTGCCTGCCTCCCTGCCTGCCTCCCTGCCTGCCAGACTCAACAGAGGGCCCGCCAAGCCAGGACAGGCCTGGGGGACGGGGCCCAGGAAGGGCCCCAGCTCCCCTTCTCAGGCCCTGCACACCCACTCCCCAGAGGGGCTGGACTCGATTCCCTGTGCTGTGAGCACCCAGTGCGTGCCTGGGTCAGAGCTCAGGCTGGGTAGTGAAGCACAGGGGCACTACGACTCGGCGTGTGTGGGAGGAGGGGCGGTGGGAGAGGCAAACCTGGACCCTGGGTCTCCTCCCTTTTACACCCTCACTTAGTAAAGGAGGGCAGAGCTGCACCCATTTTCCTTTTACCCATGGGAACTGCTCCCAGGACCTGTGTCCAAAGGGCTAGAATACAGGGGAGAGTAAGGAGAGAAAAGGGGAGGAGGGATGTGTGTGCAGGAAGGAAAAGTTGAAACGCAATATACAAAGACGGACAGAGGGAATAAAAGGAAGAGCTAAGGGAAGAGGAGGGTGGGACAGGAGGAGAAGAAGGGTGGGGCGACACCTATCTGAGGAGGAGCCAGCAGGGGTGAGGACACTACCTTCTGGACAGCTCCCGGATCCTGTCTGCAGGGACTCCCTCTCCTGCCTTGGACTCCCCTACTCAGCCCTGCCTCCCTGTCCCCCCCACAGTGAGGCTGATGAGCTGGCTGCGCAGGGGGCTGATAGGGAGGCCGAGCTGCCACCAGTGCTGCCTGGGGACAGTGACTGGGCTGCCAGAGAAGCCGCAGAGGCAGAGGCAGGGCTCTACCTGGGGGCAGGAAGCTCTTGGGGAGGCCAGAGAAGGGGTAGAGCCCCTGCGACAGCCCCAGGGCTCCACAGGGCCCCCTCCCCTTGCCTGGGCACCATCCAATCACAGCCACCCAGGCCCATGCTGCCTTCCTCTGTCCCTTCCTGGGGTCCTGCATACCTGGGGGCAGGGCAGCAGCCTCACTCCACTGGTCGGCACTGGAAACGGAGCAGGAGCGCTGGTGCAGCCCCTCGGGACGCAGGCCAGCCCAGGCCAGACTGCTGGCCGAGTGGGGGGCGCCTGGAGAGGGGAAGGGTCAGACTAGGAGGAGAGGTCGGGGAGGGGTGCACATAGGCTTTCCTGGAAACAGGACTGTAGGCACAGCTTGAGAAATCCCAACAGGAAGCTGACCAGAAAGTAAGGAGTCTTGGGGCCAGGTACGGGGCCAGGCTTATTGGAGAACCAGAGGCATCACACAGGCCTTAGGAAGCAGCCAATCTAACCTCAATCCCTCCTCTCTCCATACACAAGGTATATGCATCTGCCCCCTCCCTGGCACCCGAAAGTGGGGGGAGTGGTACCGACACCCCATCACTGCAGAGCCCCTCATCGGGCCATCGTCACCCGCAGCCTCCTCGCTCCTGGTCAGGGACCTGCACCCTATCTAGTCCACATATGCCATTTGCTTTGCCTCAGCTTTGCTGCCATTCTGATGAGAAATAAGTGTATCAAATTCAAGTAATTATGTCTAATTAGTATTAGTAATTATCCTGTTGGGCTGGAGAAAATTAATCTTTCGTTTCCCATCAGGGAAGAACGGCAGAGCCAAGGGGAACCGAAGGCTCCAGGAGTGCCACGGCTGGGCAGGGAGAACATGAGTGACCTCAGAACTCCCCCCTTCTCCCTGGGCACCGGGGCACCACGGCAGAGACTGTGGGAACAGTCATGCGACTTCAGAGCGCACAACACTCAAAGGGCTGCACTGCCCTCCCTCAGTCCACCTAAGACAGGCTGGGACGGAAGGCAATGGCTGTGGGGGGTCTCAGGATGAGCAGGCCACGCCCGGGGTGTTTGCCTCAAAGCAGCGCAGCGCGGGCTAGGTGCTGGAGGTTAGTAAGGAAGCAGAGATGGGCCTGCAAGCTGGAAAAAGCTGGAGAGAGCAAGCAGCAAACATGAGGCCTCAAACCAGCCCTGCGAGCACACAGGGTGAGTTTCTGGAAGCCTGGCACTGGGAAGCTCTGAGCCAAAAGCCATTAGAAGGAAACGAACAGACCAGACCTCCCTAATCCAGACCAGACCTCCCTAATCCTTCGGGACAGTCTGACCCTGAAAGGAGGTCTAGTTTTGTGTTTCTATTGTATTCCAAACAGGACCAGGCACACAATAGGTGCTTAGACGTGTGGTGCTGAGATTCCAACCAGTCTACCCAGTCTACCCTTCCTGTCCCCTTGAGGCAACATGCTGGCCTTCCTCTTCAGAATCCTCTCCTTCCTGCTCTGGCTTCAGGTCCCTCACAGCCTTTTTCCTGGTCAGGAAGCCTTCCCGGGGAGCAGCTCAGTTCTAGCTTCTCAGACACCGTGCTTCTCCCCGTCCTGTTCCCATCCCCTCCTGGGTTCCAAATCTTACTCCCTTCTCCCCATTCCCCAACCCAAAGATCACAGGCCCACCTTCCTCCCAAGCCCCCAACCCAAAACCCCAGGGGAGAAAAAGTACTCTCCCTTTTCTTTGTTAATTCTCCCCTCATTACGCCTGCAATCCCACAATCAGTGTGCACTGTAATTGTCGAATTTGATGCTAATGATTAATGAATTAAACATGGAGCCATCAATTAGTCCTCGGAGGATAATTCTGCATAAAGCAGCGGATAATGTAATTACAGTAACAAAGATAATGAGATGTTAACATCGCCCGGTGAGCGGGAGACATGCGTGAGTGTGCATGAGGTCGGTGTCGGTGTCGGCGTGCAGCGAGGGGACGCAGGCCTGGGTAAACGCTGGCCCATATGTTCTGGGAACGTCAGTGCGGGTCCGTGGGCGCTGGTGATGATACGGGTGAGTGTGAGGCGTGCATCTCCCTACTGCTCCCCAGGTGACGCTGTCAGGGCCCAGGAATGTGACTGGACAGAGGTTCTTATTGGTCCCCCCTCTTTGGGGCACTCACTTCCTCCTCCTCCATATGACGTGGGAAACCCTGAGCCAGGCTGAAAACTGACACTCACTGTCCCCCAGCAGCACTGGGAAAGCTCTCGGGCCCTGGCTGACCTCCAGTCCCCTCCCCCTCATGCCAGGAGCTTCCCAGCAGCCCTGACTCACTCTCTGGGCACAGCACTGGGGGCTGCACGTGGCTCCCATGTTTGCCATCAAGCAGGATCCTCCCCTGTGCACCCTCACAGGTGGCACCCCAACCTGATGGGTGGCCATCTTTCTTGCCCTAGCTTCCGTTCTCCCCCTGCCCACCAGGGCTCCCTCTGCACAGCTCAGGTGCTGCTTCCTCAGTTCAGGATGGAAGAGGACAAAACATGACTTTTCAGGTCAGACACAGATTCAAACCCCAGTTCTACCATTTATTGCCTAACCTCTCTGAGCCCTTGTTTCCTCACCCATAAAACGGGAGGATGATCTCAACTCCAGAGCTGGAAGCGGGGCTGCACCTGGCTCACCTCACTGGGCCGATGTGGGTGCCCCCGGCCTCTCCCAGCGCCTCCAGGCCGAGCACAAGCCCAGGGCAGGTGCAGAAAGCGTCTCCCGCCTACCTTCCTGAGTTCTGGCTTTCTCAGTGTGCGGCCCTATCAGCGTTTTGAATGGGGCAATTCTTTGGGGTCAGTGCCAGTCCATTCTGGGGACTTAGTACCCGGCCCTCTGAGCACTGAGCGGACAAGCAGAAACACTGCACCGGTGCTGAGCCGACCCTGGGGCAGGGACGCAGGGCAACACCTAGGAGGGCGGGGCAGTGCCTGAGCAGCTGTTTCGGGCCAGGAAAAACAAGATCTGATTATCCAGAACAACCCCAAGACTCAGGTCTTGAGAGGAAGGGTCCAGGAGCCAAGGTGGAACTGGGGCGTGGGGGCTGGGCATGGGAGGCAGAGCCCTCCAAAGAGCAATGTGGCTCTTCCCCTGAACCCAGTGTCCTCTGGAAAGGGAAGAATTGGCCAAGGAGGAGCTGCCTCGCCTCAGGCTGACGCTCAGACTCCATCTCTTCTTTCCAGACTGTTGGCCACGTGCAGTCTGCTGGGCCTCCAGCTTGTCTCCACACTCAGTCCTCTCTGAGCAAAGACCCCACCGCTCACTGAAGACTGAGGGTGACACCTGCCAGGTGGGCCCCAGGCGGCAGCTCTGTCCCCTCCAGCCCCTCCTTCCCCACATGGCAAGCTGGGCTGAGACATTGCTATGGTGCCCAAAGTCCTGCCCTCACCATCACCTGCCTTGAAAGACAGTCCCTGGACCACTGAAGCCACCAGTCAGCATGAGGCTCCTGGCCCCATTCCGACCTGTCTATCACCTGCAGGACGTGCACCGAGGGCAGGACATGCCACCCTGACTCCACAGGGAAGCTGGCAATGCCTTTGGCTAAGCTGCTCCGGAGCCCAGCGCGGGCGGCAAGCACGTTCAGAGCTCACAGACTCCCCGACGGCAAAGCCCCTCACGCCTCCCCAGGCACCATCGCAGCTCTCCCCCCTCTTCCCGCAAAGGAAGCAACGCTCTCCACGCCCCACCCCAGCAGCCGCCTCACCTGGGCCCCCACCCAGCTGCGTGTTGCTCCGATCCAAGGCCAGCCCGTTGGCCCGGGGGCTGGTGCCGGGGGCTGTGGCTGGCGTGGCTCGGGGCAGGCGCTTCCCTGGTACTTTCACTGTTGTCCGCAGCAGGTCAATCTCCTTGCCGTGGATGTTCTGCATGTAATCCTAAGGGCCATGGGGGGAAGACAGACGGTTTGTTAGGACCTTCTTTGGCGGCTCTCTCTCTCTCTCTCTCTCTTTCTCTCTCTCTCTCTCTCGGGCACTGTCCCTCTCAACTCCTAGGTCTGTCTCCACGGAGCTGCCTGGGGTGGCACAGGGAGGGAAAGCTCAAGTTTAAAGAGCAGGACTGTGAATCCCACAGAATGTCCCCAAGTCTGGGCGACACCTACATCTACACGCTGACCACGTGCTGCTCGGGGTCCCAGCCAGGAGGGGGGGGCAGAGTGAGGGGAGGAAGGTCTGGAGCCAGGAGCCCGGAGCTGAGGCTCAGGCCTCCTTCGGGGAAGACGGCTAAAGAGGCCAAGTCCTGGACCAGGATGGGATCAGGGAGAGGGCCATGGGTCAAGAGGAACTGACAGTCTCCTCGGGATGCAGACAATTGGTTCCCGGGCTCTGGCGGGCTGGTCAACAAGCACTCAGGTCTGCTTTCAGAAGCTCCCTCACCACTGTTACAGCCTGGAACAGTCCCCGTTCTTAGAACAACACCTGACAGTGAGTATCTGTTCAACAGTTAGAGGGAAGCCTTTGCTACTCTTTGCTGTTCTCAGGAACTAATAATTACACCATGATCATCATCACATCCTCTTCCCGTTCGGGGGCCCAGTAGTCACTGTGCTGTAGCTGTGTGTCTATGTACACACCTTACCTCATATAATCTCCGCACCACCCACTCTACAGATGAAGAAACCGAGGCTTACAAAGCTTACTCCGCACAAGCAAAAGGCAGTGAAGCCAGCCTCAGTCCAGGCTTTTCCAATCCCCAAGGCTGTGCCTGAAGGTGACTTCCTCCCACTCCTCCTTCCAGTCGCCACCATCACTGCCATTGCCACCTTGGCCAGGACGCTCCCCGGGGCTGCAGAGCACAGTGCCGCCCTGGGTCTCAGCGGCCCAGCTTTTCCCACCGCCCTGGTTTCTCCTCCAGACTGCACTCCCGTCTCCCCCGACGCCCCTCCCCGGGGGGTCCCTGAGAGCAGAAGCCAGGTGCACAGAATCCCACTGATTAGACTTGGAATCAGCTCCTCTTCCCTCAGGAGCACCTCCGGGACGGTTTGCACCCAGAGAGCATCCCTGAGTGCACAGCGCCATCTCAGACGCAGCCTTCACCGCCCCGCCCTCCCGGTGCCACTCTGGGGCGTCAGACTCCTGGTACCGGGCCCTCTCCTAGCTTCTCACTTTTAGCTCCGGGAAGAGCGGCAGGGCCCTCTGCTTAAAGAAGCACAAGCGCTGCCTCTGGGAAGCAGGGCTGCCGCGTTCTGGGAACGACCGAGGACATCAGTGGAAAGGGGTCGCCCGGCCCCACGTAGCCAAGAGAATGTGAAGTCACCAGTCAGGAGGAGGAGCGAGCACAAGGACAGGGCACCCCATGCCAGCCTCCCCGCACATCTGTCATCAGGCTAGAGGGCACCACAGGATGGGACCCGTGGGAGGACCATGGAGGCCTGGCCGGTGGTCACCTCTCACTCTCCAAGCGGCTCTGAGAACCTTCCGAGCGGGGAGCCCTGCGGAAGGACCGGGGCGTGGCCAGCGGGGAGGAGCAGCTCCCGCAGTGTGTGGCCAAGGAGGAGCCCCCTCCTGCAGCTGTGGCTGTGCCCCTGCCCTCTGCCACACTTCGTCCAAGTGCCTGGTCTCCAGCACGTGCTGCTCCGAGGCCGTCTGTTCATCCCTCACAACCACGGAACGATGTCACTGGGACATCAGTGAGCAGTCTCCGCCCCGGGAACAGTCCGACACCCTGGCCCCTGACTCTGCTGAGTGCTGCCCGGCTTCTGTCCCGAGCACTGAGCCTCACCATGGCAGCTGGGAAGGAAGCAAACCCAGGCGCCCCTCTGCCCACTCTCCGTCCTTCTCCAGCAAACTCAGCTCAGCCCACCCCACCCCATCCCCAGGCACCATGGCCCCCTGGTCCTGCTTCAGCCAGCACCCAACGTGTGACTTCATTGTCTTGGCCCTCCTTACTCCAAGTCCCAGCATCCCACTGAATTGGCTTCTGCATATACCGATCCTGAGTCCCTACATATCCTCATTCTGGGTCCCTGCACACAACCACGTCTTGGACAGGCTGCTCAGACAACTGTCAGCAGCTGGCTGGGCCGAAGCACAGCTGCAGGCCTCTCCTTGGAGAGGGCTTGGGCCGCTCTAGTTCACAAGCAGGCCACAGCAGCTCAACAGTGTTCAGGCCCCATGGCAGCCCGGGGGTGCCGGGCTGGGACGCGACAGGAGAAGCTGACCCTGGCCAACCAGAGCTGCACGGAGGGACTCTGTTGGAAGCCAAGGACCAGACCCTGACAGCAGGGGAAGGGCCAGCCTGGTTGGCATCTCTGACCTGGCAGACGAGGCTCTCTGTGCTGTGCCCTGTGCCAGGCTAGCTCCCAGGGCTGCACCCCTGGGAGAGGGAGCCGGACCCGAGGAGAGCGGGCAGAGTGGCAGGAGCGGCAGCAGGACAGTGCAGGGCAGAGCGGAGCGTTTCCCTCCGTCAGCAGAACGGGGAGCACTGTGGTGGCGGCGGCGGCTGCTCAGGAGAGCGGTCACCACGGCTGCCTTTATTACCCGCCATCAAACAGCAATTTCTTCCCCAGCCTCCTCACTAATTACCCAGCCAGCGTTCTCATCTCGTTTTATTACTGGAATTAACAACGAGTTCAGAGCGTGGAAAGCTATTAAGATGTGTGATTAAGCCACATTCAATTAGTTTCTACAAACAATTTAATTGATGTTGCAGATAGAATTAACAGAAGGTGATTGTGTGAATGGCTCCGCTGGATGCAAAATGGGGGAGGCTGTGGCGGCTCTCTTGGGCCAGGCGAGGATCGGGCGCGAGGTCCGAGGCTTGCCCACCAGCCCTTCCTCTGCACGCCCATCCGGCCCACCCTGCCCTTCCGGCCTCCGCAGGCAGGTGAGCATCCCGCACGGCTGCCCTGGGTGTCAGGTAAGAGCTGGTCTGAGGGCCGCCGGCGAGGCCGTGGGCGCTTGTGAGCAGGGCTGGAGTTCCCGGTCCTGCCTCTGCCCGGCTCCAGCGGGGCAGCTCACAGGGAGGCAGGTGCCTGCGCACTCTGGCAATAGGAAGCTTGCTTGGGTTGGAGAAGATGGCAAAGGGGAGATGGAGGCAGGTAACCAGCAACACGAATCCAGATGAGAACGCTGGCTGGGCAATTAGTGAGGCCAAGAACAGGAGGTGCAGCCCAAGTACAGCAGCTTCTGCGAGCAGCACTCGGGCCCCGTTCCCGGAACCGCACACGGGCCACTGGCTAGTCCTTCCCACGGCCTTCCCCCATTACCACAGTCTGGACCCGATTCATGTCTTCTGAATGAGACAAGAAGACCTACAGGGCATGATGCCACCATTTGCATGTGCCAGTCCCTCCTAGCATCCAGTGTGGGTGAGGACATGCACTTTGACCCCAGAGCCGAAGCCCAGGCTCTCAAAGGAGCTGCCATTCAATGCAGTCCTGCGGCTGGGAGAGCAGGAGCGGCCCTGGCCGGGGCCTGGTGTGCTGGCCAGCAGAGCCGCCTGCCTCTGAGGCTCACGTTGCAAGAAAGCAAGAACAGGCTTAAGAGCTGCTGCGACCGTCCCAGGCCCTGAACACGCTGACCTGCACAGCTCAGCGAGCATGGTGCTGGGAAGGGCTCCAGGGCTCAGACGCCCAGCCTGGCCAACCTCCTGCATGACAAAGTCCGGGCAACACATACCCGATGCTCACTTTCCGGGGCTTCCTCAGCTGCCCTAAGGGGGTGCTTAGTCACAGTCACGTGTCTACGTCTTAGCCCCTGGCTGGTGACTCCGATGATCCAATGAAGCCCACTGAGCCTTGGCATAAAAGCAGCACCCCCTTGGGCCTTCACCCTCCTTCCCAACCCAAACCCAAGCCCAAGCCCAAGCCCACACAGCGCCACTGCCAACCCTCTCCCCTGTGCTAAGGCCCTCCAACACCCCCCTCCCCCTGGGCTTCTTCCTCCACAAGCCGAGGCCGGGGGACAGAACACAGCCCCGGCTAAGGCAGCACCAAGCAGAGGAACAGGTAGGAGCAAAGCAAAGGGGGAGGGTAACCCCCTCCCGCCCCTGCACACCGGGGAGTGACGATGCTTCAGAAAACCAGCGCCCAGCTCAGCAGGCAGGACAGCGCCTCTCAGAGAACAGGCACTTCCTGCCTTGGGCAGAGGAAGCTAAGAGGCCCGCTGTGGGCTCAGCCCAGGCCCGGGCACGGGCATGGCAGCCCGAGCGCCTCTCAGAGGCTCTGCCCCCGACACTGCCCCTTGGCTTCCTGAGACGCCTGTGCCCGGGTCAGTGCCTTTCCTAGTGATCCCGCTGCCCCTCGGGGGCCACCGGCTCAGCCGCAGGGACAGGGCTGAGTGTGAGGGGGGGGCCAGAGTGGGAGAGGCAGCGCCGGGGAGCCTTCGTACTAAGCACCCAAGGTCACCAAGTGTGGCCCCTCCTCCGGTCGCCAGGTGTCCCAGCACCGGCTCCCCACCTGTGGAATCGGGGGGCCAGGAGCGAACAGTCCAGCCAGTGCTGTGCCCTGGGACACGAGGAGATCAAACAGGAGCCGCCCGCACTCGGGCCGTCCTGGAAGGGGCTGCTCGCTGGTGCTCCCCACGCTGGCCTCCTCCACGTCCTCAGCAGGGCCGTCTGGGTGCTGCTCGCAGGACCCAGTTATCACCGGCACGCCGGGCTGGGCCTCCCGGTGCCTTGTGCAGAAGCAAAGGCAGGCGAGGGGCCCTCTGAGGCAGGCCCCGGGCCGCTGGGCCGGGGGGGGGCTGGCCCCCGTGCTGTGCTTGAGGGGCTTCACAGGAGAACTCATTAGCCCCACAGTGGGGAGGTGACAGAGATGGATTCCGGTGACAGCTGTGTGCTGGAGCCACGCAGGGAGGGGAGGGGGATGAAGGAAGGGTGCGGAGCCACAATCTACAATCACTGCAAACCCCGGCCACAGGCCACACACCCCCCAGACCCCTCCGCCCACAAACAACACCCCCACTCTCCTCTCCCAGGACCTGTCCACGTCCCACCACCTTCTCCGCAGCCCTGGCTTCACTCCCTCCAGCTCCAGCATCCAGGCCAGGGCGCCCCCACTGGTGTGGCCCCCTGAAGACACCGGCTGGTAGCTGGGCACCCCCAACCTTAGCAATCCTGTGCAAGTGGGCAAATCAGCTCCTCAAACAACCAGAATGTCAGAGGTAAAACCTGGCCGCCCGGCTGACTCCCAGACGCCTTTCTCCAGCAGGCTCTCTCCCAGAGCTCCAGGCTAGCGCTGGGCTGGGCCTGGGGTCGGTGCAGTTCCCAAGCCACCGCAGTGAAGTCCTTCAACTCAAGCAAGAACCCACTGGAACTCGCTAAGGTCTCAGTCAGTCCTGCCCGCGCCCGGACTCACGTGCAGGCTGGGGTGGTAGGTGAGCAGCCCGTTGTCACAGAGCGTCACGTACTTCTTCTTCCACTCCTTGTTCAGGGACTTGCCGCTCCGCTTCAGCAGGATGCCCTGGGGATAGAGGCTGGGTCAGACTCCGCCCCAGGGGTCCTCTCCAAGGGCACAGACCTCAGGTAGGCCTTGGCCTTTCGCCCCCGGGGGCGGCCCCAGATTAGAACAGAAAACCCCCTAACCACCCCAGAATGCCCAGCTCCCCCGGGGGAGGCAGCAAGGACCCCTGCCATGGAGCCCGGCAACCCCATTTCCCGCGTAAGCAGGGAAGGCACTCTGAGCATGGAGGAACGTGAGCATGAGGTCGGACAAGATCTCATGAGCATAAGGACTGTGTGTTTTGTCCGTTGATACGCTCAGCACTGGGACAATGCCCAGCCCCCAGCAGACACCCAGCAAACACCTGGTGGAGGGGTTAGGGAGAAACCAGACAACATCGGCTGAGAGTGGGAATGAGACCGTACTCAGGCAGCCTTTGCTGCCTTCCTGTAAGGACAAGCCCTGAAAACGCCCTGGCCCGCCTCGGGCTTTCTCTGCGGAACAGACTGGGTGAAGGCAGGAGCTGGTGGGGAGAGGCGAGCATGGCTGAGGATGTTCCCAGGTGGCAGGTTCCCGGGACCAGCATGGCCCCCGGGGCCACCCCCTCCCACACTCTGGGGAGCTGAGAGGAGGACAGAACCACAGGGGACACCACACTGAGCCACAAACCCGACCGCAATGACTGGGAGGTCAGGGACGCACCCCGAGCCCATCTCAATGGAGCCAAAGGGGGGAGGGGCAGAGAGGCAGACACGGTAATGGCTTCTCCTTTGGGAATGGAGGGCCGCCCTGAGAGAGAAAAGGAGGGACTAAGAGTCCAGGTGTGATGATTTCACTTACTAGTGCGTGTGGAATCTAACAAGAAAATAAATCAACAGAAAACCACAGATACAGACAACAAGTTAACGGTCCCCAGATGAGAGGGGGCTGGGGAGGGAAACGTGAAGGGATATATAAAAATAGCCCCGGGGATGGAAAGTGCAGCACAGGGACGACAGGCCACAATCTATATAATAAACACCTAAGCGACCTTTACAGGGGAACAAGCAGAACAACCAGTCGCTATGTTGAACATTGGCCACCAGGGGGCAGACGCTCAGTGCAGGAGCTGCCCTGTGGGGGTCAGTGTGCTCTCACAGGGAGAGCACCACTCAGCCAGAAGCCGGGCTCAGGGCTGGCGAGCACAGCAGCAGTGGAGGGAGCCTCTCCTGCCTCTACGGCAGTGAGCCGAGCCGAGGTATGGAGCAGTGAGCAGTAAGGAGCTTAGGGGACACACACACACACACACACACACACACCCCCCCCCGCACGAATTTTGTGCACTGGGCCTCTAGTATTGTAATAACTCTGCACAGTAGATACTAGATCCAGTAGATACTAGAAATATCATCTTTATCAAGTATAATGTCTTCGTAAGGTATATGCTATACACCTGAAAATTATGTAATGTTGAATTTCAACTGTAATTGAAATTTTTTTTACAAAAGAGAGACTCAGGTGTGAGAAAGCAAGGGGTCCCTCCAGCATGGGCTGTGGCCCTGAGGCCGAGGTGGGGGAACCAGGCTCCATGCCACCTCCCCTCTGAATTCTGGGGAAGCGATACCAGGTTCAGGCAAGGGGATGAGCAAACAGGTGATTTTGGATTTCCCGCTCCAGTCTCCCACTTCTCAACAGGTACTTCCCATCCCTGCTGCCCCTCCTTCCTCCTCCTTCTCCTCTTCCCACTGGACACATCCTGGTCCCAGTTAGCCTGACGGACAGCATGGCACAAGGTGCTTGGGGAGACACGGAATCTCCGGACCTTCACACAGGGGACTGCAGGACATCTGGCCTGGAAGGAGCCTGGTGGCTGCTCCTGGGGGCACCGGCCCCTCGCAGCCAGGAAGGGTGCCTGGCCCCCCCTCCTGACTGCGTCTCTCCCCCAGGCTTATCAGGCACCTCATCTCACTCCCCCACCCAGCTTCCCTCCAGGGCAGCGGGGGCAGCGGTCGGGAGCCTTTCAGACCTCACAGGCCACCAGTGGCCACCGCGGCCCTGGGGGCCAGCCAGGCTCCCCCCTCTTCACCACCACCTGGCCCTTCACAGCAAACAAGTTATGTCACTGCACTGGCCAGTCGCCCCCACAGACAGGGAGCGGGACTCACGATGGCAGCTCCCTCCTCGGAGGAGGCGGGCAGGAGCCAGCGGGAGGCAGGTGGGGAGGGAACCCTCTCCTCCTGACCCTGGCCTCTCCACCTGGCCTCCGGAGACGTGGAGGGAGCGCCAGCCCCCAGAAGCCAGGCAGCCACCGAGGTGCCGCCCGCCCCTCTGCCTCTGCCTCTGCCTCTGCCTGGCACCTGCGGCGGGCCGGCCGCTGCCGGCGCTGCGAGGAGGGAGAAGGAGCCGGTGCCGCTCCCGCTCCCGCCCCGGCTGCGCGGCGCCCCGGCTGGCGCGGCGGCGGCAGGAAGCAATCTGGGCGGAATGGGAGCGGCGCTGAGGCGACAGCCCCCAGAGGACCCGTTCGCCGCCGCCTCCCTCCCAGCTCCGCCAGCCGGCTTAATTGCGGAGTCCGGATTGATTGGGAATGCAAATGGCAACTGAAATGCAATCTCCACTCCCAGCAGGAGAGGGGGGGGAGGAGCGGCGTCGGGAGGGTGGCCCTGGGCGGGAGGGTGGCCCTGGGCGGGAGGGTGGCCCTGGGCGGGAGGGTGGCCCTGGGCGGGGGTGGGCGGCCTCCACCGGACCGCAGGCACCCCCAAATGCCGTGTGGTCCCTCGGTCTGAGGTCCTGCTGCCTCCGGCAGGCAGCGGGCCCAGGGCCCGGGACTGCGCTGGGCTCCTTCCCCGGCGTCCAGCCTGCTGGGGTCCCTGAGGCTTAGGGCCTGTGACCGAGCAGACTGCCTGGCCAGCCGGAGGCCCAGGTGCTGGCCTCAGGGCGCCCACCCAGCCCACAGCTCCTGCTCCCCTGGCCACTCTACCCCAGACAGGAAGGACGTGGGCTACCACCCTCTCCCAGCGAGGGCCAGGCCCAGGCCCTCACCGTGTGGCAGAGGTTTATGTGGACACACTCCACAGGGAGGAGCCCTCGGGGGGCACAGTCACGTCGGACACTGTTTGCAGAGCCCAACAGCAGGCGTCCCTGGGTTTGTGGGGACTCACAGGAGCCTGCCGGCTGCCACTCCTCTCAGCCTCCGCACCTGGCCTCCCGCAGGGAGACCCCACGGGAGCTCAGCGACATCCCGGGGAGGCTGACACAGAAGCAGGACGTGCCGTGTCCCCGTCCTGTCCTCTGGGACCCTGACCCACACCCAGGGCTCTCCGCTCTAAATGGACCTTCACACAAACCTTGTCACACTGCCCAGGACCCCAGAAGCGCCAGCCTGGAGGGCCAGACCGGACTTGGGCGGCCTGGCCACGCTGAGCTCTGGTGCTCTGTGGTAAACCTGCCAACACGGCCCCTGCAGACACATCTCTAACCACCAGCTCCCAGGAAGGCCTCTGTCTCGCCCAGCTCCTGTGGGCACAGGCTCCTGCCCAGGCCCAGAGGGACGCCTCCCGGCTCTACCCTCGTTAGCCAGAAGTTCTGGAGCCCCGTCCAGTGCACCCATCTCTCAAGTTCCTCCCAGCACAGGGACCCACTCAGGACTGGGAGCCCGCCAGGCAGTGACTCAGAGAGGAGCTGGGGAGAAACACCTCCACTGAGTTTATCTTTACAAACGGCAAGACTTTGCCGTGGGACCTGGAGGGCCTATGGCTCTCACCACGCCCTCCGCGCACACTCGGGCACTCCTGTGCATTCTCTTCCTTCTCCCGGACCACGGCGCCCGGACCAAGCTCTCTGGCAGACAGCAGGTTGCCCTCTCACATGACCCAACTCCTAAACCACCAGCAGGAGAGCAACTGAAGGCGGCTCTCTGCTGCCCCCTGGTGGTGGGAAGGTGTGGGCACAGCCCAGAGAGCAGGCTTCTCCAGCCACAGGCTCGGATCTGCAGGAACAGACCGCAGTCCGGCTCTGGCTACTCTTCCCACCAGAGGTTAGTCCTTAGCAGAACCTCAGGCCTGGCAGGAGGGGGTACCGCTTCTTACACCACCTCCCATCACAGAGGCCCAGAAAGGACCATGCTCCAGCGTTTCCTGGGCCCTGCCTCAGCCTCAGACCTCAGGGGAGGGGGTGCTGGCTGACCTGTTTGATGGGGATGGCCCGGCCGCTCCCGATGCTGTCCACCTTGCACTCGGCGGCCTTCTTCTCCCGCTCCAGGTCGGCACCCTTCCGGGACTGAAAGAGAAGAGGAGGCGCGTTACAGGGGCCCCGGGCCGGCGGGAGAGCTGCCCACTGGACCCCCAGCCCGCCCGCCTCCCTCGGCCCCGACAGGCCCTGGCGGGGGCAGGGCCGGGGCGGCGGGGCGGGGAAGGAACGGAGACCACGAGTATTCCAACGGGTTTATTCTTACACAGGGCACCATACAGAGCAGCACAGGTCACTGAGCCGGGACCGCCCCTCACAAAAGAGCAAGGACACGAGATACCACGGGCGTGAGAGGCGCGCAGCCCAGGGGCCGGGGCGTAAGAGAAGGGGAGGTGCGGAGAGGCCGCGGTGGGGCCGGAGGGGCGGGGGCACGGGGCACAAGTCCGGAAGTGAGCGGCGGCGGCCGTCCGTCCGGCACAGACACCACACGGCTCCGCGCGAGCCGGCGGGCGGCCCAAGGGGCACAGTGGATGGAGAGAGAGGAGAGAGGCCGCAAGAGGCCCTGTGCCCCTGCCAGGCTCTGGGGCAGAGCCGCCCCGATGCGGATCCTAGGAAACGGGAGGCCAAGAGGGGAAAGGCAAGCGCGCGGCGGTGCTGGCGTCCAGAGCAGAGCAGGAACGCAGGAGTCCATGCAGGAGGGAGCAGAGGGGCGGGGAAGCTCCCCGGGAGCGGCGGGCCGGCGCGGGGACACCCGCCCTCCGGGCCGGCCGCGGTGCCGGGCAGGCGTGGGGCCCGCTCCCTTCTTGTCCATGCAGCGAGCCTGGCGCAGCGTCCGGCCGGCCTGGTCCCCGGCAGCCCCGCCTCGGGCTCCAGCTTCCTAGCCTTCCCTGGGGGTGGGGTTAGTTACAAAGGCTCCTGTGGGTCTCTGGAGTGGGAGCACGGCGGCCGCGTCTCATCTGAGAGCAGTCCCAGGGCCGGCCCGCTCCGGCCCGCACAGGGGAGAGTCCAGAGGTGCCGTGTCACCACCTGGTCTTCTAATTTGGAAGGAGTTGGAAAGGCCTTTTTGTTGATGAAAAGTTGGAAACAGTGGCACATATCTGCAAATATCGAAAGAATAAAGATTTTGGCAAGTTATACTCAAGCCCCGCGTAAGTTGGTCAGCACTGGTGAGGGCAGAGACCCAGGCGCCTGGGGAGAGATGGCAGCGGGATGAAAAGGAAGAGGAGGCGGAGGAGGCGGAGGAGAAGGAGGAGGAGGAGGAGGAGGCGGCAGGGCAGCCGGCGGGGAATGCTGAGGCCCAGGTCCTTCCTGCTCACCAGGCTGCCAGGAGCCAGGAGCACAGGCAGGGGCAAGTATAGCAGCGCAGGGAGCACAGCGAGGAGCAGGGAGAGCTGGCCCCAGGCCACCGCCTGCAGCCCCAGCAGTGCCTGCCCCGGGCCTCCACTGGTGCCAGCCTCTGCCCCTTGGGCCCCGGGAGAAGGAAGGTGGATGGGATCCTGCCACTGGAGGGCAGGAGGGAGGGGGAATGGGGTGCAGCCTGCCCCAGCTAGACTGGCGAGCCGAGAGGTCCCCAACCACCAGAGGGTCCCGGGAGCCAGAGGGCTAGAGTGTCCTCAAAAGGAGTGCGTGAAGTCTGGGGGAGACTGGACACATCCACAGCCATGTCCAGGGGGAGGGTCCCTGGGGCACCAGCTCCAGAGCAGGCGTGTCTCTGCCAGGGAGATGCTGAGGAGAGGGGTGGCCCCAACAGCAAGGATGAGAGGGGGTCCCGAGCTGAACCCTTGGAGATGGGGACATGTCTTGAGGCAGCCTCGGGGACAATGGCACAAGTGAGGTCACCATGGAAACAATGCAGGGGAGAAATAAGGTTGCCACCATGAAGATGGAGAGAATGGAAGGCCCTGCGGGCGGATGGCAGGCGGAGGCAGCAGTGGCAGCAGGCAGCAGAGGGGCATGGGGCAGGAAGCACGAAGGGCCGTGGCAAGGAGCTGGGAGCATGGCAGGGACAGAGAAGGAGGGTGTGCAGGACTAGCAGCGAAGGAAGGGGAAGGTTAAGAATGTGCTGAGGCAGGAGCGGAGGCAGGCTGTGCAGAGGCACGGACGGCGGTCGCATGGGCACCCACGGGCTCTACAGCGGCAGCGGCAGCGGCAGCGGCAGCGGCGGCACAAGCAGGCAGCCCAAGGCCCTGTGAGCCTCAATGGGCCTGAACAGAAATAAGAAGCTTCAGGTCCAGGCAGGGTCAAGGCTGGGAGGTGCAAGGCATGGCGGCAGCCGGCGCAGCAGAGGGCAGGTCAGCACGGGCAGCGAGGGAGTGCGTGGCAGGCACAGGGGTCAGAGGCAGGCAGGCCGGGCAGAGGTGTGCCGGGTGGGGCAGGGGCAAGAATGAATGGGCAAGGCCTGGGAGCACTGGCTCTGCCGGACTGGTTCCCGAGAGCCTGGCTGGGGCCCGGCCTGGCAGGCAGACACAGGCCGGGCGGAGAGCCCAGCCCCGATGCTCAGAAAGAGGCGCATGGCGTGACGCGGAAGGACAGGGCGATCTCCTGAGAATCCACGCGGCAGCTCACCCACCTGTGTCTGACCCAAGATCCTGGAATGGTCCAGCCAAGTCCCGGCTGGAGGGTGAGCATTGGGGGTGGACTATGTGCCAGATGCTAGGTCCTGGGCATGGCAGACAGCAGGCTCAGGACACCTAAGAGCTTAGGGGCGGGCCCCACGCAGCAGGAGGCACATGGCGCCCCGGGAGTGAGGTCAGAGGGGCAGGGAAGAACTCTGTGAGGTTAAGGCAGGTGGCGAGGCACAGGATGGAGGCCTGGGGAAGATGGCTCTGCCAGACCAACGACAGCGGCGGCAGGAAGCACAGGCAACGGGAAAGATGAGAATGTGGACGAAGCCTGGGCCCTGGTGCAAGCTCTGCCGCTAGCTCTGTAGCCTGGAGCACGACTTGGAAATCTAGGTGTTGGGGCAGTGAGAGCAGAGGCCGCCAAGGTCCTTCACGCTGGCCAAGGAGCCCTCGGGCGGCGGGGAGGGGCGGGGAGGGGAGGGGCGGGGAGGGCGGTGTGTGCGGCGGGTAGGGGGCCATGTGGATGTGCTGAGGGCAGCCCGCGTGGGCTCCGGAGAGTCTGGAAGAGCCTGGGTGTGGACGAGGCGCCGGTGAGAACCTCCTGAGCCGTGTGTGTCTGTGTGGAGGGAGACCGCGGCCGGCTCCCTCCTAGCTGCCCTGCCTGTCGGCTGGAGGCCGCCGGGCAGGCGGGAGGCCGGGCACGGGCACGTACCGTGAAGATGTTGGAACGCCGCTTGGACTGCTTGCGGATGGGTGTGGGGGTGGAGGAGGCAGCGATGGTCTCGATGCGCAGCTCCCGCTGGCTGATGCTGGGGGTGGAGGGGACTGAGGACGAGTAGTCGCTGAACGCGCTGCTGCCGCCATTCGTGGCCTAAGGACAGAGAGGGCTGCTGAGGCGGGGGCGGGGCAGGCAGCGGCAGGAGCCCTGTGGTTTGGGGAGCCTGGCCTGGGGCTCGTGGAGCAGCAGAGGGGGCAGAGTCAGAACCGGGGAGAGAGGCGGCATGGCCTGGAGGCCACCGCAGGGGCTGCCACCCCGGGGAGCTAGTGAGAGGCAGTGGCTAGCAAGTTGGAATCAGTGGCTGAGGCCGGAGTGAACTGCGGAGTCGGCTCACAGGAGGGCGTGACACGAGGCAGCAGGTCACCCTGGATGTGACATGTCAAGGATGCAGGAGGTCGGGCAGGGGAGGGCGAAGTCTGCTTGTAAGAAGTGTGTGTGACAGGGGAAGGGACAGGGGAGAGCGGAGGCCGAGCACAGAAGAGAACTCAGACCACTGCCAGAGGAGGTGGCAGGAGGGACCGGGCTGGGGAAAGGAGGAAAGACAGAAAAGATGACAAGGTCGGAGCAGGAAGTGCATGCCAGGGTCTACTCCGGGATGCGGAGCACACGCAGCCCAGGGCCCTGGCAGCCCTGGACCCTCCCTGCACCAGCAGCAGAGGAGCTGCGCCCCTCATCCACCAGGGCCTCCCTGGCAGGGCCATGCGCACACCTGGTTGGAGCCCAGAGATGGCGAAGGAAGCCCTCATCTTGTCCCTGCTGACCCCCACGAGGGATGCGCACAGGGAGAGCCTGGCTGCCTTCTGAAATGCTAAGGGAGGAATCTCTGGAAAAGCCACGGGGCTGCCACAGGAAGCGGGCAGAGGTAAGGCAGCATCTGCCTGCCGGACCGGTCCAAGGCCGCCTGTGATGGCCCAGCGCTTCCGCAGAGCAGGGTGGGGAACAGGAGGAAGCTCTGGCCCATCAGCCAAGGGCCGAAAAATGACCAGGCAGGAGGCCAGGAAGTGGACGGATGTCAAGTGGAATTATGGGAGGATCTGGAAGGACCTGGCTCAGAAGCACACCCCGATCCCCCATGTGGCATGAAAACCGCTGGTCCCTGTGGGGCAAGCACTGCCCTCCTGACCCACATTGACGGGCACACAGGTGGGGCCTGCCACGCTCCCAGTCCTGCCGAGGGCTGGGTAGTCCCAACAAGAACGCCCCTGCGCCTCCTGAGTCTGTCCCGGGGCAGCGGCCCTAAAACAGCCCTGAAGTGCTCCCGAGAGCAAGTATCCAGCTGCCGCGGCTGCGGGGTCTGCAGGGTAAGAGGGCGGGAGCGGGGCAGGGCGCTAGCAGGCAGGCAGTCAGTCACCACGGGGTGCAGATGAGGCCAGGCCGGGCGCGCAGGCTGCATGAATTCGAGCCAGGGCTTCCACACCGTCACAAGGTGGGCGACCAATGAGAGGGGACAGGCAGGCAGACAGACAGGATGTGAGGCGGGCGGAGGCGGGCGCGGGAGGCGGCCGCACCTGGTTGATGTGCACGGACGGGATGGAGGCGGCGGACACGGCCGAGTGGCTGGGGGAGTTGGGCAGTGACTTGCAGGGCCCGATGGCCAGCTGCTGCTTCTTCCGCAAAGCCACCACCTTCTGGGCCACTGCGGGGACAGCACAGTCAGTGACCCCTCGGGGAGAGGGAGACGCCCCGCTCACAGCCGCCCCCCAGAGCTCGGGAGCCGGCAGAGGGCCCTCCGGACCCCGGGGAGCGCCCGCCCGCCCGCCCGCCCGCCCGGCGCCGAGTTACCGTCCTGGAAGACGCGCTCCACATTGAGCCCGTAGGTGGCGCACGTCTCGTAGTAGGTGCAGCGCTTCAGGTCCGTGGACAGCTTGCGGGCCCGGCTGTCATCGATGACCCGGGGGTTCGCAGCACTGATGGCATCTGTGGAGGCGCGGGGTGGGGTGAGCTCAGCCTGCGGAGGAGCCGGCGCTGGGGCGAGGGCCTCTGTCAGAGGCCAGTGAGCACGGGAACCCAGTGTCCGGCCTCGCGCCAGACCTGCCCCCAACTCGCCACTCGGTGAAACCACCTCAGAAAACACGGACCTGTGGCCCGCCTCCCGGGGGTCGGAGGCCGCTCACCCTGCGTGCCCACCAGCACCATGGGCACCTCGCTGGCGTTGCGGAAGCTGCAGAGGCGCAGGAAATAGTTGTACACCGTCTGGAAGCTGATCTCGTCCTCCAGGCTGAACACAAACACCACCGCGTCCACCCAGGCAGCGAACTAGGGGGACCGAGCACAGTTACCGGCCTCGCCTGGCCCGGGCCGACGCTGCACCCCTCTCCCCACACGCTCCAAGGCCAGAGCTGGGCAGCAGCCTCACCTGGAGCTCAGGCGGGCCTCCTTCGTCCCGGATCAGCAGCAAGTAGCTCTGGCCGTCCACCACAATCTCCTTCTTAAACCGGCCCCCTAGGGCAGAGCGCACAGTCAGGGCACAGCTGGTTGAGACGCCGCGGGGCCACGCAGAGACCAAACGCACAGCTTCCGAGGAGACGGGAGCCCGAGAAAGACGGGGCTCAGTCCCGCCCCCAGTGCAGCCAGCCTGTACGCTCACCTTCGGGGGACTCCTCCTGGACGTAGGTCCCCGTCAGATAACGGTGCACGAGGGCTGACTTCCCACTAGACAGGTTCCCCACAATGCCCTGCGGGAGAGGCGGCAGCAGCGGTCAGAAGGCACGAGGGAGGAGATGGGGCAGGAAAGGCAGAAACCACGGGACGAGAAGGACCAGTGCTGAAGGGGCAGGGGCCAGAAGGATGCTGCAGGGGGAAGCCTGGAGGAGGGGGGACTGGAGGCCGGGGATGGCCTGGCGGAGCCGAGCCCCCGCCGGCCCCAAGCTGCCCGGCCCTCCCCGCCTCACTCACCACTTTAAGCTCTGGCACCGAGCGGCTCAGGGTCCACTCCTGGCTGTTCACAAAGGAGTCTGCGGGAGAGAAGGCTGCCCGTCAGGACTGGGGGGCACCCACACCTGTGCCATCGGCTACCAGCTGTCTCCTACACTGCCCCTTCCAGGCCCAGGCCAAGGGGGCCCCAACCCTCCCTCCTAGTTCCCTGGGGAGCAGCAGGGAAGTGGAACCAAGTGAAGACGGTCCTCAGGGTGAGGACACTGAGAGGTGTGGGCTCCCCTTGGCCTGGACCCGGGTCCCGCCCCCTCTTACTGCTCCACCTGCACCACACCCAGCCTGGAGCCCCGGCCCAGACAGCAGGCCCAGGTGAGAGCTGCTCCAGCAGGTCTCGGCCCAGACCCACGCTGGGCTGGGCACCTGGCAGCGGGGCGGGGGGCCGCCTCCCGCAGCGAGTAGGAACAGCTCCTCTGCGCAGGGTGGGGCACCCACCGCATTCCTGCTGGGTGGAGAGGGCGGAGCCCTCCCCTGGCCGCTCTGGGACTGCCCTCCACCCGCAGCTCCTCCTTGCTGGGGAGGCCACCACCCTTTCTCCCCGGCCCCGCCTCCCGGGCCTCAGTGCCTTCTCAGACGGGGCGCCGGCCTGACGTTGGCACTGTACTGGGGAAGGAGAATGTGCTACCCAGAGCCCTCCGTGGGCTCGCACAACCTCCTCCTCTGGGCGGCAACGGCAGCCCCTGCCTGGCTGGGCCGCGCTTGCTTCCCCACCCGGCTCTCAAAGGGCAGCTGTCGCACCAAATGGCCCCGGCCAGCCGCGTCCACAGCGGCCCGTGCATCTGCAGGGGCAGCGGGAGAGGAGCCCGGGCCGCCGGGCGCTAGGAAACAGAGATGGTTCCGTCCCACCTGAGGCCGCCCGGGCCTCCGCGCTGCACGTGCCAAAGCCTCGAAGGGGCCTTTGGCTTCAGCCTCCTCTCCACCGGACCCCTCCTGTCCCAGTGCCACTCCCGGGCCACCGCCGCCCGCCCGCCACCTCTGGCCCCTCGCCACGCCCTCCTCTCCCGGGAGGGGAGGCCCCGGCTCCCACCCGCTCCAAGGTGGACGCCGACTGGGAAGGACCCGCCGGGCGCCCCGCTTACCGCTCGGCGCGCCCAAGAGCCCGGGAGCGGCGGCCGCGCGGCGGCTCCACAGCGGCGCGGGGGGCGCGGGCGGCGCGGGCTCGCGGCGGCGGAAGCGGCTGGTGAGCAGCCGCCAGAGGCCGGCGGCCGAGCGGGGCCGCCCGGGCTCGGGCGCGGCGCGCGGGCCCTCGGCGCCCAGCAGCAGGTCCCGGCGGCCGGGGAAGGCGCCCAGCGAGCCGGCGTCGCCGTCGCTGCGGGTGCGCGCGCGGGGCAGCGGCCCCGACTCGGAGCGGCGGATCTCCTGGCCGCGGCGCAGGCGGAAGCTGAAGCTCTTCCTCAGCGCCGACAGGCCGCGCCGGGGCCCCGCGGCCGCCCGCCCGCCGCCGCGCCACACGGGCCAGCGCTGGCTGCTCCAGAGCGAGGCGCCCCGCAGGAAGCCGGCGCTGCCCGCGCGGCCCAGCCCCGCGCCCGCCGCCTCGGCCTCGGCCAGCTCCAGGCGGTGCACCTCCAGGAACGTCATGCTGGCGGGCCGCGGCCGCGGGCCCCCGGGGCGGCTGCGCCGAGCGGGCGCCGGGCTGGGCGCGGGGCTGGGCGCGGCGGAGCCGGGGCGCTCCGAGGGCGCGGGCCCGGGGCCCGGCGGGCGGCCGTCGGCGGGGCCTCGCCGGCCCAGGCGCGGGCGCAGGAAGCCGAGCAGCAGGCTGCGGGCGCCGGCGGGCGGCCCCGGGTCCCCGGAGCACACGCTCAGGGGCCGCGCCGGCGGCTCGCGCCCGGCGCACGGGGCGGCCTGCAGGGCGGGGGCCGCGCGGGCGGCCGGGGCGCCGGGCAGGTCCAGCGAGTCGCAGACGCTGAGGGCGCGGCGGCAGGCGGCGGGCCGCTCCCGGCTGTAGCTGCACCCGGGGGGCCAGCCCTGCTCCATGGTCAGGGCCCGCGGGCAGGGGCCAGGCCCATGGCGAGGGGCGCGGGGCGAGGCCCGGGCCGGGGCCGGGGCCGGGGCCGCGGCGCACGGACCTCCGGCCTCGGGGCACCTGGCATCGGTCGACTGAGTCCCACAAACTCCTCCACCGCCAGCCGGCAAGCCCAGACCTGGAGGCCGGGAGCCTGCCCAGCAGGGCGGTAGGCGGCAAGCCCGGCCTGGAACACCCCGGAACGGCGGCGCTGGGGAGCCAGCCTACTGGGCAGCCCCTGAGCCTCGGCAAACAGGAAATTCCAGCCCGGGCTCCTCCTCGGATTGGGGCAGGTAGGTGAGAGCTGTCACTGAGCGCAGGCCAAGGAACTAACAGTTCTCCTGGGCCCACTCTGGGCAAGAGGGCCACTCTTTCTCCAAAGGGAAAACCCGAAGGGATACACCAGGCCAGAATGAGTAAAAGTGTCATGTAAGCGTCAGGAGGCAAGTCATACCCCCTCTCCGGGCCGCGGTCTCCTTATCTGTAAAATGGGAACCTAAAAGAGGTGACCCCATCTTTGTGTCAGGCTCAGACATTGTGAGGCCGGGAAACCAGAGAGTGAGAGCAGCTGGATGCTGCAGGGGAGCGTGTTCTGTCCGTGATGGAGGCTTCCTTCCTCTGTAAGATCGTCCCCTGGGCCGTGTTGTCCTGCCTAAGGGCAGGGGAAATCCAAAGGCAACCTTTGGACTTGGACCATACCGTCTGGACAAGGAAAACTCAACTTAAGGTTTCCTGAACGCTCTGGTCTGCAGCCCCGGCCTCACCGCCTGTCCAGAGGTGCCCGGAGGCGGACTGGCTGAGCAGAGGGGAAGAGTTGGCTTGCAGTGCCCTCTCTCCAAGCCCTTTGAGTTTGCAGTGTGGGCTGCTCCTGGCACATTACACACTGGGCTCTCCCGTTCCTCCTCCAGCGCCTGGAGAGGAGCCAGTTTACCATAATCCACCAGGACCCCAGGCAGATCAGGAGAAACCAGTTTTGGAAGTGGCAAACATGAGGGGCCCTTTTCCTTTAAAGAGGCGCTCCCGGGTTCCCTCCACCCCCAGTCCAGCCCAGCTCCCCAGCTCCTCTTGGCTTTAGAAGGCCATGGTCCTAGTCAGAAGCAAGTACGAGATAAAGTGGTGCATTCCAGAGGGGGCTGGAGTGGGGTGAATGCCTGAGGAAGGCAGGGCCTCTCCATCCTAGGTGCTCAGGCAAAAAAGGGCTGGAAATTCCCAAGTCCCGGACTGGATCGCCCGGGGAGGCCTGGGGCTGAACTTGTTTTCTCTTGGGACTAGTCATTAACAGTGATGAGGCTGGCTTTGTCCTCTGGGGATGCACAGTCTCCACATAATAGATGGTTCAGCTCAAGGGCCTTTCCCAAGATCCTCCAGGCATGGAGACAAGAACATGGTCCAGGAATCCTGACTCACATTTTCAAGTTTAAAATTCCCACACTGACTTCCAACTTCTCTATCTGCGAGCCTCTCTCTCTCTCTCTCTCTCTCTCTCTCTCTCACACACACACACACACACACACACACACACACAGAATGCCCCTCCCCCAAAGAATAAGGTGCTCATCTCGAGCCCTTCCTCCAAGCCGATGAAAATGCACGCACAGAACAGCAGTCGGGGGCCACGGGGGACTGAGGGAGAGGGAACAAGGTATCCAGGAGGGGAGGGGCTGCTTTAGAACCCACCTGGCTCCTGATGGGAGAAGCGGGATGGGCCTGAAGGCGAAAAGCCCCTCCCCACCCCCAGCGACACGCACACATGCACAGTGTCGGGGAGCTGGGCGGCAGGGCCCGGAACAGGGATGGGAGAACACCTCTACCTCAGAGGCCACACCAGCTCTGGGCTCCACTGCACCTGTGTGACCAGCCCAGGCAAACGGTGAATGCCCAGACAGCTTCCTCATCAACGGGCCACCTCCTTCCTACTCCGTCCCAGAGACTGACTGGCAGAAATGAGCCAGCGGGCATCCAAGTCAGAGAACCTGGAGACTCCAGAGAGAAGAGCAGGGAGGCACCCGCTCTCCTTGGCTGGCCCCGCCCCTCCCGGGGGCGAGGTCTCTGTGTTCTGTCTGACAGGATTCTGCTCCAAAGAGAGACCTAAAGGGCACGAGGGCAGCACCCACAGCTCCCAGCTGCGACCTTGCAGGCAGGACAGAAAATCCGTAAGACAGCCCTCACGCCCGCTCCGTCAGCCATCAGAAACACCCAGGTAAACCTGTCGCTGGGGGTGAGAGTCACCACGGCCGCATCTAGGCAATGGAAGAAGCAAAGCCTCCTGTCGCCGGTGAGGAGGGGTGCGCAGCCCTGAGAGCCAAGTGCAGAAGCCGAGCACTGCTTGGCCCCTCTGGTCTGAGGGCGGGAAATGAGAAGACGCCGAGTCCTCACACACACACACACACACACACACACACACGCGCGTGCTGCTGACCTGTCAGCTCTGGGTGCAGTTGCGTGTCTGGGGACAGCGGGAATGTTCTAAGTGAAGAGAAGGACCGGGGAAGGCCTGGCTTAGAGGCGCTGCAGAAACAGACCACGGTCCCGAGAGGGCCAAGGCGGCCTCGGGCTCAGGAGTCCCACAGAACTGCACCTGCTGCAGCCCCCGCTCGGATCCTTGCTGGAGATCCCGATAAGCTGAGGTATGCCGAGCCGAGGCCCTGGCCCGCAGGGGGCTGCGGACGGCTTCTCAGAGGTGGGATGGGCTCGCTGCCAGCGGACACCCAGTGCGAGTGGTGGCTCAGGGGAAACCTTCAGCTTCTCCCAGAGCCATACGGCCCCAATATCCCGCAACGCCGCACAGTTCCTTTTGTCCACAAGGTGGCAGCAAAACATCTTCCTGCAGCCCCGGCGGCCAGGGCAGGGGGAAGCCGGTGACCCCAGCAGCCGCCACATGCAGGTCTCCAGCCCAGAAGAAAGAGGAGCCCGAGGCTTCCCCTGGATCCCCGTTTGCTCAAAGCCTCCCCACAACCCAGCACTCAGGCTGGAGGCTGCAGGACTCCTGAGTCTTTACAAGTGTCAGGGGCTGTCCACGAG